GATACTCCACTCTCATCAGGAAGCCCCTGCATCTGGCCTGTGTGCGAGTGATGATTTCTGCCAGCTTGTCATCTCTCATCTCCTCCAGGAGTCCTAGCAGTCCAGCTTTGAAGAACACCTTGAGAAAAGAAATGTTGCAGCATGTCATTGTCTGGTAGTACAGAATACAGGCGCAGAGTCTTTCAGGATCCTGGAGAATACCTTAATGGCCATGAGCAACCTCACCTTGGACCCCCTCCCAAACCCTCTGTCTATGGTCCTATGAGCTTCCCATAAGCTCACCCTAAGCATTCAGTCTATGTCTGAGCTATGTGGTATGAGTTATGGTTTCCAACTGTATGGTTTCCAACTCTATGGTTTCAAGCACAGCATCAGCTGCACCTATGCATGCATCCCAGTGACTTCTACCATGACCTGTGGACTTACTTCCTGGCTTGATGTTAGACCTATCTTATTGCTGTGGATGTGTCCAGGAATTAATGAATAGTGCCTGGGCCTTGTTAGCCTACCTATATCTGATCCTGACCAATTTTGAATACCAAGGCTTTATGGCTTCACCTCAGACCTTCCTTATGAACTGACTCTTGATTGAACCTCACTGATTATGAACTGGTTTCTTGGTTGAACCTCACTACCATTCCAGGGTCTTCTCCACCTGACTTGCTTGGGTACTGTGGGGCTGGGCACTTGCTGATTGAGGCCCCTACCCTACCATCTCTATTATTATGCTGTACTCCCTGCCTTTGACAGAGCAGCCCACCCTTACTGCTCCCTGAAAAACTTTCAACACAGGTTTCTACCTTGGTGTGACCAAATCTATATTGGGTGTGGTCTACATCAATGGACCCTAGGAGCTTCTCTGAAGCCTTCTTGCTGTCCATGAACTGTCCCTCTGGGATAGCACTTGCATTAAGCACTCTGTATCTGCAGAAGAAAACAGAACATCAATAAATTCCCCATCCCTCAGACTATTTAACTTGGTCTGAATGGGGAGAAAGGAGGAGCACTCTTACCTTTGTTTGAAGTCAGCATACAGGACTCTGCTGGGGAATCCTTTCCTGCAAATTCTGATCCCTTCCAGCACACCATTGCATCGCAGCTGATGCAGCACCAGCTCATGCTCCATGGCACCTAACAAACACCACCGTTAGTGACTACTCCATTGTTAAATACTCAGGAGAAAAGCCTCTGTGGCATAAGTTTTCCTCCTATTGGATCCCCTTACCAGGTGTTTTTGTTTCATTTGGGATGATGCATCGTACAAAATGGGGGTGAGTGCTTCTCAGGTTAGCCATCAGCTTGTTTAAATTCTCCTGTGGGTTCATGAAATGAAGTTTATATTATTAAGCATAAGCACTGGAAGCTTAATAGTAGATGTATCAAACTGAGTATTTCAGGATGCAGAACTGTCTTCTCTAAAACTCTTGCAGAACTCCCAAAGGGAAACTTGGAAACCTAGATTTTTGGGTTTTAAATTCAGTTGTAGAATAATGGTTAATATTATTTTTCATTTATCTCCTTATACAAATACAAACATGTAATCTCACAGCTTTATTTCCCATTGATATACCTTGTGATATTTAGTTGAGCATTGTAAGTGGATGACATGTACTCTTGGCTAAGCGTGAACTAGCATCTGATTTCACAGCTAAATAAGTACATTTTAAATGGATGAAATGTATTTACAGCCCATATAAATTCATTTTTTTAGTTGCAATTCAGTATCCCTAAGTATCTCCACCTCAGATGCATGGAAACATTGAAAACAACTGAAAACTGACCTCAAAATTCATTAAATTGATGCAAATTAATATTAATTCTCTTTCCCCATTAAAATTAAAACATTGCCTTACAAACTTACAATCTCACAATCTCAAGTTAATATTTTGCTTTTGATGTTTGATTTATTTGCTTATTCTAGAATGCGTGAATACTGCAAATCTTCATAGATACATGGAACAAGTATGGGAAATATTGCTGAAGTCTCCAAAGAAGATTTTAAGGAAGTTCAGCTGATTTGTTATTCACTCCCAATCTAAGTAGGTGGACTTGATCCATTGGAGATTTTTGTAGAATATTCAGAGAAGGTAATAGCAAAAATAAGACAGGTGGAAGAAATCAGCGAAAATATAAGGATGCAAAATTGATAGTTAGTTGGAAAAAAAGTCTAAGGCAATTGCCTATGGAGTTCCAGGAGGCTGATAATATCATTCTGTCTCCTGAAGCAACAGGAAGATCATGCAGGCATTGAGGTAGAGATTTTGTGGTCTTCTAATTGGGTAATAGTGTAATTTCCAAAGATGGTAAGGAAAAGATTTTCAAGGATGGCAATAGCTATGACAAAAACTGAAACAGAGCTTTTGGATTCAGAATAAAATAGCTTTCCATCTTCAAAGATATAATTAATTCTGTACTTACCCGGAAAAGAGCTGAGACAGTCTGGAAAGAAGAACCCTTCTTCTTACCACCCTTCTTACCACCACCACCAGCCTCTGCAAAATGGAAGAAAATGAACGAACATCTTTCACATTATCTTTGAAATTTGCCTTTTTACAGTATGAACACATGGAACATGGAT